TCACTTTTGCCTTTTGTATAGATGACTTTATTTTTTCTTTTCTGGAATTTGGGTTTTTTGGCTGATCCTGCAATAATGCAGTCATATAAATAATGTTCAGGTATGTTTTCTTTTCGAAGACTTTTGGTGTGAAATTTAAGGAATTCATCCAATTAATTTCGCTTTTGTATCTTTTCTGAACAAAGAGTAAAATATAATTGAAAAATTAACTTAAGATTTTAGTTGATTTTACTACGTCTAGGAAAAGATGGAGAAGTTGCGGCAGCTTAGCCACATCAAGGGTGACACTAGCAAGCTACAATACCTTGACAAGCAGTTAGTTTCTCTTTTATTTCATTTTATTTATTTATTTGTGGTTTCTCTTTTATAAATGACTATTCTATCTAACTAATAAATATTTTATATTTGTGGTGCACGATCAAATTCTCCCGCATGTTCTTTTTTTTCTACCCTACTTTAGAATCGAGGTACGCATGTTTCTCATAATTCCTTTCTGCAAATGAGTTTGCTATTAAAATAATCATTTAAAAAAAGATTTGAGTATTACTAACTTTTATTGTGTCGCATTAGAATCTGGAGCTTCAAATTAAAAAGGGTGCATTAGAGTTGCAGATTTTAGAAAGTGGTCTCAGGTAAAAAAATTGTATATACGTTATGAAGCACTCCATAAACTATAGTTTGTAGATTGCTTATAATCTTGAAATTATAATAATTAATTCTCAAAATTCCATAATTTAAACGGGTTTACAATCGGTTCACGCGATTAAACCGAGATCGCCAAATGACGAATTTATTTCAATAAAACAATCGAGTATTCCAATCTTTTATTTAAGTCGATATTGCGACCAATAAATATAACTGTATAAATAACATTCGATAAATAGAATATTCTGAGAAATTCTAAAAATCGAACGGGGCGAGATTAACACATATTTCTTATTGCAATATGTAGGGATTATGAATTTGGACCAGAACAAGAGCCTTCTTTGCATCAATTATCTTGGTGTGAGAGAAATTTGAATCATTCTCTAGAACAAGTCGTTGCTAGAAAAGTTGGTCCAAAATTATTTTAGTAAATATTCCTAATAAATAAAATATTTGTTTTTTATATTGTTCCTACTATCATTATTGATTTTTCTTTTTTCTTTTTTTTTTCCATTAAGAATGAATTGGTTGATAAATTATCTACATCGCTTAAGAAGACAGATTTTGAGGTAAATTAAGAAAACCATTTATTATTTATAAGAATACTGATTCAACAATTCAATTATTTTATTTTGATGGGTCACCTGCTCATAATTTTAATCAGCCAAGTCAAATGGATTTCGATGGTCAACGGGGAATGTTATCATCAAACTTTAATGAAAATGGGATGAATTTAACATTAGAAAGCCATTTCACTGGAAAAATCTTGATGGAACTTGATCCTTGGATAAGTCCTTACAGGTAAACTCCTGTGNATTTTTTTTTTTTTTTTTTTTTTTTAAAAAATGTTTGGCTATGTAGTAATGCTGAATTTGATGTATGTATCAATAGTGCTAGAGTTCGAGAGAGCATACTTCAGGACTTTGTGGATCAAACAAAATGCACAAGAAATGAACACGTGGCATCAAATATACCCAATTTTTCAAATCCAACAAATGTAGGCAATTATCCAATATTAGATTCTGCTAACATTCCAGTGGAGGTATGTAATATTGTATTTCAAGTTTAAATGTTATTGCCAGTATATGATGTTTTATACACATATCAAGAAATTGTAATTATTTACAACAAACACTAATGGTGGACCAAAGCTTCCTCAACTGCCATCACCAAAATAATGTTGATTATATTCGTGGAAAAATACTTCTAATTTTCTGTACTTATGAATGATTTTTTTTTTTATACTTTTTAAATCTTATATGTATTATAGTTCATTAATAAAAATTGACTTAAAGCTATTAAAATGTCTGCCGCAGATGATATTTTCCCAAAGCTCTTGCAACATCCAAGGTCCAAGGTAAGAAATTAATTGAAAGTTTGAT